TTCACGAGAACAACAGAATGATTGGTTAACAAAACATATACAGCAAATTGGCAAAGTTGTCAAACAAAAATACATAAATTTCTGGAGAAAAAATATAACTGAAAAAACAAAGCTGAGAACTTATGAAAAATTCAAAGACTCCTATAATTTTGAAAAATACTTGGATGTGCTAAATTTGAAACAAAGAATTTCAATGACAAAATTTTGAACTATTAATCACAATTTAGCAATAGAAAAAGGGAGACATATGCAACCAAAAATACCTACTGAAAATAGAATTTGCAAACAATGTTCACAGAATGAAATAGAAGATGAACTGCACTTTGTTATGAAATGTCCACAATATAAAGTAATACGCCAATAAATCATACAAGACATTATATTTCCACAAGAAACCCAGGAAATTTAATTTCTTGATGACTTCAAAAGATGATATAATAATAAAAAAGATTGGCAACTATATTCATAATGCATTTCAATCAAGAAATAAAAATGCCATTTGATATGTAACACTTGCTTTATTTTTTTTAACAACTAACTTTCTTTTTGTAGTAGTAGTTATCACAACTAATCTTTATTGCTATTAACTGATAGAAACATTGTATTTCTAAGGATGCAATAAAGTTATTATTATTATTATTATTATTATTAAGTGGAAGATTCCATTATCATAACAATGAGTATTTAGTCTTAGTTATAGGGTCAAAGGTTATAACATTAAATCAATGTTAAACAGTACAGGTAAACGGTAGAAATGTGAACCATGCATGGTAATATAAATTTGAAATGTTGATTGCAAAGAGCTCTCAGCAAAAAATTTGCGGGAGTGGAAGCAGGGGGGTTTGTGTGGGGATTCACTGGATTTTCAGTTTAGTTGAGATGTATGGGTAAAAAGCCTAATATATCAATACAGATAAACTAAATAATTGCATGCTCTTCAATACACCTTGAATGCATGCATTTTGTTGCTTAGATTTAAGGGGCAATGATACTTGAATATGCTGTCATGGTGATAAAACTGAGGCCAGAACAAGAATCAAGTAAGTTTAAGGTAAGGCAAACCAAAAGAAAACCAAACACCTGACATTTTGAAACTACCGGTAATTGTGATACAAAACACTGTGCAACATTAAATCCACAGAATTTGATATTTATGTCATATTTGAATGATATACACTGTATGCTTATAATATGACATGTTGACTTGAAGAAGAGTGATTTAAATTTACAACAACAACAACAACAACAATAGACAGATTAATGTGCATATACATGTATGTGTGCATACCATTGGGTCTTGCATGTAATAACGAAAACTGATCATGAACAAACTGGTGGTTTCCAGCCTGGTAAATTATATATTATTAACAATAACCATATCTTATTAAATATAATCAAGCATTTCTTTCACAGGTTACAGGTGCAGAGACAGTTGACAACTTCAGTCATATACATGTATTATTTCCGCCATTAATTTCCTTCCCACTCAACATTAAGTCTGTTAGTACTAGCATACATGCTTACATAAATGACAAAATCCTTTATAGTAGAATAATGGCTAATACAATAAATGTATTGTTTAGTTGATGTGCTAATACGGTCTTTGAAAAATCTTGTTAATATATTATTAGGACAAATAATAGTATTAATTTCCCATTGTGGCTAAAAGTTCAAGTAAAAGATATGTCAGAGACTATTAGTGTGAATGTACATTCTATTTCCTGACATTACCACTGCCAATTTCCTGTGTGCCTTCTATACAGACGCTGTAGTGATCAACTTAGTAACTGCCAATGAAATTCTCCTGATCCATGATAATCAACAGTCAGTACACCTCAATGAATAAAATGTCAGAAATCGTAGTGTTAAATATATATAACACAAATCATTATAAATGACATAGTCCTTATTAATAATTTAATTTATTTGACTGGGAAAAGCTTAAAGTAAAAAGATTGTAATCATGCTCATAATTAATAATTAATTGACTATAGTGAATTTTTAAATGCAAAAGTTTTAATGAATATTACAAGTAATAGCAACTGAAACCCACTGGGCTTTCACTTATCAAGTCACTAATGACAAATTACGACATATGCCACTTTCTCAACAATTAAGTCAGACAAATTACATTGTTGTTCCAGTGCTGGTTAATTTCTCATTAGGCACGGCATACAATATCTACATTCTAGAAATAGATTAGACCCATGTGCAGGTACATGTACATTGTATCTGCATGTAATAATGTATATTTTAAGGTCCTCCTATATGCAGTTCGCTGCTATAAATTTGTTCCTGAAATAAGTGAAAATACGTCTCTCAAAATAGAGTGTGACTCCCGCTTACACACGCAATGACTAAAATAAGGTTATTGGATATAATATTGCTTTTGGAATTGATCGCTACTTTTTATGGATGCATACATAGTGTTTGAATGGGTCGATACTTGAAGAGAGGTGACAAAAGTTCATAATGGCGAGAAAACACCATTGCGCCGAGAATACAATGTGATTGACTGAGGTCAAACATAATTTAAGGGCTGAGAAAATAGCAAGCACATACCTGCATCGTGTACAACATAGATAATAGTCGTAATATATCCCTAGAGTGACAACTTGATTTAAAAACACCTGTACAATTAATTTTATAACATTACGATACATATCACTATTTCCCCAAGGAGGTTAATTATTAGTTATCTATGCGCTTATCAAGATTACCATCAAACATACATGCAGCTGGTTTTGAGTCAAGTTTACACTGCTATCAAACAGCTTTAATTACAAAACACTAGAACGCACAGCAATGGCGCACTCGAATATATTGTAAAAGCACTTAACATTCACTACTATTTAATTGCACTTTGATATTTTCAACATATTCACTAATTAACCAGTGAATTAATAAGTTGTTTACCATATATAGTAGTGCTAATATGAATTAGGCGTTTCTATTTGAATATTCAGTCTAACAAACTACTATTGGAGATGCCCTTCTAATGGAGCAAAAATGGTAATTATAATTTTACATATTTACATAGTAAATTTGTATATAGTATTTCACTTATACATTAAAACCCAGTGAAAAATAAATGTGTTTACAGTACTTTACACAAAATGTGATGATGGAAAGGTGATTAAATAATGCTGAGTAAAAATGGAATATTTTTGGTATAGCATTAATCTAGTATGTGTAAGCCCATCACAATTTAATCATGTGGTATGTCGTCATCAGGAATTCAATACTTAAATTTATTATGTATGATGTATGAAAAGCCCCACTTCTTCTGGAAAAAAAATTATTGGAATCAGTTCAATTGTTTGGTTACCATATTGGAAACAGTCCCATTGTTTGGTTACCATATTGGAAACAGTCCCATTGT